AGTCAGAAGTCACACAATACCAGGTTGCAGTCCAACAGGTTTGTTTGAAATCACAAGCTTTCATAGCGCTGCTCCTTCATCAGGTGGAGCAGTGCTCCGAAAGCTTGTGATTTCAAATAAACCTGTTGGACTACAACCTGGTGTCGTGCGACTTCTGACATTGTGCACCCCAGTTCAACACGAGCACCTGCATATCAGTATTCTGAGACGTGGGTGCTCACAGACTTTGCTAGTGGGGAAAAGATTTTCCACCTGGAAGCAAATTAAATTAGCGTACTGATAATAGGGCTCATGGGAAAATGTATAAAGGTGCTGCTAGTTAAAGCTTACTTAGACAGTGAACTTGTTACGTGCCTGGTAACATTAGCGATAGTGCCAAGCTTGGTAATGATAATATTTTAAGAAACAGAAAAGGATATCCCAGAGACTGGCAAGGCTAGACAAAGCCAGCAGGAAGCAGAGAGATTGGGGCATAGTCAGGTTCAGAAGTCCTACATCAGAAAGTTAAATCTATGAGGTTTGGATGGCTCAGGAACAGTCTCTACAATTAAACATGACAGGCCAATAGTATCAAAAGGGGAAGATTTGGACCAACAGCCATAAAAGGCAACAGCCAGAGATCTGGTCCATGGATACCAGCTAGGTAAACTTACAAGAGTTCTCAGAAAGGGCATGAGAAACGGAGGGTAGTTCCTCACTTAAGGGAAAAGTCACAGGAGAGGATAGAAACTGAACATTCAATTGATGGCAGCATTCCGAGGAAAGTGGAACATATTAGCACAGAACTTATTCCCAAAGCAAAGGGTAAATGGAAGGGAACATACACACAGATGACGACTCTGGAGGTCACCAGTGCACAAACAAAGTTAAAAACAAAGTTACACACTGGCAGATCAAAGGAACAAAACCAAGTTTCAAACCCCAAGAAATTCAATGGGGTTAATGTAAAGTCTAATGAGAGTAGGTACTAGATCTAAGTCCAGATACCCTACAGGAAGCACACTTCAGTTAACCACCTACCAATTCCCTAGAGATCAAATTTGTAACAATGTCCAAATCTGGAACATGGATTATAGAAGTAGATTTTAGAAGTGGTTTATAAAAAGACAAATATTGACTTGAAGTGTCTGCCATGATTACCTGATCACCAATTGAGGCATAGCTAGGATAGCAATGTGGAATAAACAAAAGGACGGACTGAAATTATCACTTTATCTAAACACATTGAAACCAGGCAAATGAGCCAGCATCGAGAAATCTGCATCTCGTCTCAATTCATATGTGAATAATGTGCGTATACATAGGACATTAAAGGTTACCTGCAACTGTTCAGCATGGTAAGACATTAGAGCTAAACTTGGAAATATATAAATAAACCATACTTCAAAGGAATACAGTAGAAATAATGAAAATGAATTTGGAACAATAAGAGCTGGAGTCTCTCTCCCGCCTATTTGTCCCAGTCTTTAGACAGTTTCTGGTACAACTGGAGAAATAACTGAGAACTCAATGATTTTCACAAACTTCATTAATGCTGAGAGCATGAATCAACAATTAAAAAAAACTGTCTCAGATTAAAAAAAAAATCTTACATTTCAAGGACTAAGGGTTCTTAAACTGCACAGCCTTTATTGTTTCTGTCTTTACTAGACACACATTGCTTTCTGAAATTATCACCTTTTTATGCACGAGATGTGGATGCTGCTGCCATGATGTGGCCAGAATTATTGTTCATCCCCAGTTGCCCATAAGGTGGTGGTGATGGTGAGTCTACCTTTGTGAACTGCTGCAGTCCATTTGGTGTAGGTACGCCAACAATGGCACTTGGAGGGAGACCCAGGTTTGTGACTCAGTAACACTGAAGGAGCAATAACATATTTTTAGGATGGTGAGTGGCTTGGAGGGTAACTTTAGGTGGTAGTGCTCTCATGCCCTTCTAGCTAGTGGTGGTCATGGATTTAGAAGATGCTGTCTAAGCCTTGGTGAATTTCACCATACACAGCTGAGATAACTGATCTTCATCAAGTATAACCATTTTTCTTTGTGCCAGATATAACTCTAACCAGAGGAGAATATTTCCCCTGAACTCCAGCCTTGCTAGGGCTACTTGATGTCACACTCAGTGAAGACTCAGTCCCACTAAGAGGCGATATCACACGGGAGGTTGAACCACAAAAGCATGGCAGAAGCAGAAATGTAGTACAGGAGACATCTTTATTCACTGCATCTCATTCTTCTAAACTTCACTGAGTGAAGGCCCAAACTACTCAAGCTCTCCTCATAAGGCAGTCCCTTCAAACCATCGATCAGCCCAGTGAACCTCCGCTGGACTGCCTTGAATGACAGTGTACCTTTCCTTAAATAAGGGAATAAAACTAGTCTAAGGCATTAATTTAAAATTTACCAAGTGTCAGGAGAGGTTGGCTGAGTGAACGTACAGCCTGTCATACGTGGGAGTCCTGGATGCTGCCAGTGTCCTGGATGACCACATGTGCAGGAAGTGCTCTCAGCTGCAGAAACTGGAGCTCTGGGGTCTCGGAGTTTGAGCACTGTTTGAAGACACTGCAATGCATCCACAAGGCTGAGAGTTATGTGGATAGCACGTTTACAGAGGTGGTCACACTGCAGCTCAAGAGACTAGAGGAAAGAAGGGAGTGGGTGACCACCAGACAATCCAAAAAGAACAGGCAGGTAGTGCAGGAATCACCAAGGGTCTCATTCATTTACTGGTATTCCATTTTGAAAGCTGATGAGGTTGCTGATACCTCGGAGGAATGCAGTCAGAGCCAAGTTTCTGGCACCTCAAGTGGCTTGACTGTACAGGGGGGTGAGGAAGAAAGGAAGAGCAGGGGACAGGGGATTCTTTAGTCTGAGGAGCAGACAGGCAAATCTGCAGCCGAAGATGTGACTCCAGGATGTGGTGTTGCCTCCCTGGTGCCAGGGTCAGTGATGTCACTGAAAGGCTGCAGGTCATCTGAAATAAGAGGGTGATGAGTTAGAGGTCATGGTATACGTTGGTACCAATGGCAAAGTGAGGAATGTGGTCTTGCATCAAGAATTCAGGGAGCTAGGCAGTAGATTAAAAAACAGGACCTAAAATGGTTGCGCCATGTACTAGCAAGTTCAGAAATAGGACAGATGAATGCGTGGCACAAGAGTTCGTGCAAGGGGAAGGTTTTAGATTCCTAGAACATTGGGATTGTTTTTAGGGAAGACGGGATGTGTACAAACAGCATAGTCTGCATCTGAACCACGTTGGGACCAACATCCTTGCAGGGAGATTTCCTTGCATTCTTGGAGGAGTTTAAACTAGTCAGGCAGGGGGAGGGACACAGAATATCAATGAAACAGAGACACATCATGCCACAGTAAAGGAAGCAAGTCACAGAGTTCAGCTATGTTGCGTGTCATGAAAAGGCGGCAAGGCTAGATGGTCTTTAATGCTAGGAATGTAACAGGTAAGACTGATGAGTTAATGGCGTGGATTGACACATGGAAGTATGATATTATTGCCATCACAGAAACATAGTTGAGGGAAGGACTGGACTGGCAATTCAACCATCCTCGGTATAGTATCTTTAGGCAAGACAGAGGAGGGTGTGAAAAGGGTGGTGGAGTCAATTACTGCAATAAAGAGAGTTGATATCTTGGAAGGGTCCTCAAATGAGACTTCGTTAGTAGAATTAGGAATGTTAAAGAGGCAGCTACTTTGCTGGGAGTGCATTATAAGCCCCCAAAAGAGTCAGTGGGAAAGAGAGGAGCAAATATGTAGACAGTTTACAGAGGCGTGTAAGAGTAATAATTGGGTAACTATACTTAGAGATTTCAACTTTCCCAATAAAAACTGAGATACTCAGTGTTGAGAGTTTAGAAGGGGCAGCTTTCTTGAAATGTATCCAGGGGAGTTTTTTGTATCAATATGTAGAAGGTACAACAAGGGACGGCACAGTGCTGGATCTGGTTTCAGGGGAAGTAGTCAGACAAGTGTTCAATGTGGCAGTGGGGGAACATTTTAGCCATAATGATCACAACATGGTACTGTTCGAATTTGTTCTGGGCAAGGAAAAAGATGGCTTTGGATTGAGGGAAGGCAGATTTTTATTAAACTAAAGCAGGATCTGGCCACAATTGACTGGGAACAGTTGCTTGCAAGTATGCCTACAGCAGAGCAGTGGGGGGGCATTCAAAAGGAGCTAGGGAGAGTATAGATCCAACATGTAGCCTTTAGAGGGAAATGGAGGATCAACAAGTTGAGAAAACCCTGGATGTCTAGGACAATTCAGGACTCGATGAGGGAGAAGGGCTTTTAGCAAGTCCAAAGGGAGCAATTTGGTTCCTGCCCTAAAGGAACACAGGAAGTGCAGGAGGGAACTTAAAGCAATAAGAGCAAAAAGAGGGCATGAAAAAGGACTTGTGAACAGTATTAGGGGAGAAGATCCTAAGGTATTTTATAAAAATGTTAAAGGGAAGAGGTTAACCAGGGAAACAGAAGGGCCCATTAGGGACCAAAGGAGCAAATTGTATGTGAAGCTGCAGGATATTGGAAGGGTGCTAAATGAATACTTCTCTCTGGTCATCACTCTGGAAAAGGAGAAAGTAGGTACAGAATTCAGGAAAAGGGACCGAGAGGAACTTGCACAGTTTGACACAGGAAATGGGGAGGTATTGGAGGCTCTGTCGGGCTTAAAAACAGACAAATCCCCTGGCCCCAATGACCTGGATCCCAGACTGCTGTGGGAGGTGAGGGAGGAAATTGCAGGGGCATGGACACGGACACAAATTTTTAGTCCCTCTCTGGGACACGGGGTAAGTGTCAGAGAACTGGAGGAAGACTAATATGGTTCCATTTTTCAAGAAGGGAGGCAGAAATGAACCAGGAAATTACAGGCCAGCGAGTCTCATGTCAGTGGTAGGGAAACTATTTGAGAAAATTCTGAAGGAGCAAATTAATACCCACTTGGAAAGGCATGGATTAATTAGAGATAGTCAGCATGACTTTGTCAGGGGGAGTTCATGCCTAACAAATCTGTTGGAGTCTTTTGAAAATCTGATCAAGCGTATGGATGAGGTAAGTTCAGGTGGCGTAGTTTATATGGATTTTAACAAAGCTTTTGACAAAAGTCTCCCATGGGAGACTGATTGAGAAGGTTAAAGCACATGGAATTGAGGGAAATGGCGAGATGGATCAGAAACTGGCTTAGTAACAGGACACAAAGGCTAGTGGTAGAAGGCTGTTTCAGTGATTGGAGGCCGACGTCCAGCAGTGTACCACAAGATCAGTACCGGGACCCTTATTGTTTGTTATCTGCATAAATGTTATAGATGAAAATGTTGGGGGGCTGTTAAGCAAAATTGCAGATGACACCAAAATTTGTGGTTAATAGCAAAGATGGTGGCTGTAGGTTACAGGAAGATATAGACTGGTTGGTCAGATAGGCAGCCCAGCGATAGTTCACATTTAATCTTGATAAGTGTGAAGTGATGCACTTTGGAAGAAGGAACAAGATGAGGCAGTATTTAATGAATGGCAGGAGACTGGTAGCTTAGAGGAACAGATGGATCTTGGGGTAATTATTCACAGATCCCTGAAGTCAGCAGAGCACGTGAATAGGATAGTTAAGAGGGCATCTGGGACACTTGCTTTCATCAGCTGTGGCACAGCATATAAGAGCAAGAGGGTAACATTGGAGTTATAGAGAGTGCTGATGAGGCTACAGCTGGAGTACTGTGTGCAGCTCTCGTCGCCTCACTACCGGAAGGATGTGATAGCACTAGAGGGGGTACAGAGAAGGTTCACCAGGATGTTGCCTGGGTTAGAGAAACTGAGCCACAAGGAGACACTATATAGGCTTGGATTGGGGGGGTGGGCGCGTCATGATTGCGATATAAAATTGAGGGATATATACAGGGTGAATAGAGGGCAGCTGTTCCCCTTGGTTCAGGGGTCAATCACGAGCTGGCAGTTTTAGGGCAAGGGACAGGAGATTCAGAGGGGATTTTGGAAAAAACCTTTTCACTCAGCGGGTGGTGGGAATTTGGAACGCACTGCCTGGGAAGGTAGTAGAGGCCAAAAACCATACAACCTTTAAAAAAATATTTAGATGAGCACTTCAGATATCAGAACATTCATGGAAATAGGACAAGTGCAGGAAAGTGGGATTAGTGCACCTGCAGTGGTAGTTATGTCAGTGTAGATTTAACGGACTAAGGGCCTTTTCAGCTCTGCATGAATTTGAGTCTAAAAGTGTTCACCGTATTCCAGCCTGACATGTGCCTCATATAATTTCAGCAAGGTTCCCCTATTTTAATACTTCATTCTCTTGTAAGTAAATGTGAACATTCCATTTGCATTCAACAACAAACAGAAATTGTGGAAAATCTCAGCAGGTCCGACAGCATCTGTACAGAGAAATCAGAGTTAATGTTTCAGGTTCAATTACCCTTCTTCAGAACAGGTTCATACCATTTGCTCTCTCTATTACCTGCTGAACTTTTATACCAGCTTTGTGATTAATGCACAAGGCCTTCCAACTCTCTCTGTGCTATAGCTTTCTGCAATCTTTCTCCATTTAAATTACACAGTCAGCTAATGACAGGAAGAAAAGAGGCTAGTTTGGCAGATGGAATATAATGTAAATGGGGGTCAAAGAGGATCTAGCCTAGAATAAGAAGCATTTCAAATCATTGGCCAGATATGGAAACTATTTAAAGGGAAAATTGATGAAAACATATTAACAGGTTTAAGGTAAATTTTGCCTTTTGTCGATTGGAGTCATTTACATCCTTAAAACTGTCCCAAAGGGAAAGTCTCACCTTTTTACGAATGTACGAGTTGGAGTTCTTCAACAGTTTCTCCACCTCTCCAGCCAGATCTCTGCACATATCTGATGACCCCATACAGCCCAATGTACAGAGAGACAGCCCCTGGACAAACTGTGTGCTGTGGCTCAAGTCGCTGGAAGAAAACAAAATATACTTGCTTATCTATAAGTCATATCAACTCAAATTCACAGCCTTAAGAGAGTTCATTCTTGACTTGCAGAATTAACAATTAAATACAAAAAAAAAAAGTATGTTTTGGAAGTGGGAACAGAATTCAAACGTGTGGTCTAAATTCCCAATTCTCAATTCCCACATCAAATTCATTTAGCACTTCTCTATTGGGGTGGCCCTATGCAGTTCAATTAAATTTTCTAATATCATCACTGCACTTATCAGCACGGTTGACAAAGCACAATAAGGGTAAGGCTGATTTTCCTTGCCTGTTGCAAATAAATAGAAAGATTTTACTTATGCCAACTCCATAAAACCCGCTCATAAATTTTCAAGATTTCTATTGGATCATCCTTCAGCCTGCTTTTTGCAGGGAAAAAGAAAGACGCGATCTGTGCAACGCCACTTCTTATTAAAGCAAGAGTCACTATAGTCCAAGAGGACCATAGCCTATGCTCTCATTCGCGAGATAACAAGCACGTCACCGTGCCTCAGGCGTGGTGGCAGGAGCACGTGTGCGTGCGTAACTGTAAAAAAAAGTCATCAGAACTATAAAGAAAGATAAGGTTGCACTCTACAGCATTTGTCATGACTACCACATGTCTCAACATGGTTTACTGTCAATTAATTATTAGTCAACCGTATACACAATACTTCAGAGATGTTCTCGAAGGTTTAACTTGCATAACTTCAGGCCTAAATCCTATCTCCCTCTCGAAATAAATCTGCATCCTTCTCCAAAACCATAATCCGATCCCATTCTGATCTAATCACAGCCAGGTCACTGCTCACAATCTCTTTTCACTCCCAAGTCGTTACCCACTGAGTCCCCAAGGATCTAGATATTTTCCATCCCCAAGGATTTAGCCTTGGATCCCTCCTACTTCTTATCTACACCCTGCCCCATGGTTTCAGTTGACGTTACAACATTACATTTCTGCATGTACACTGATGACACCCAGTTCTACGTCATCATCACCTGTGAGAACTCCACCAATGTTGTTATTATCAGACTGTTTACCAGACGGCCGGTGCAGATGAGCAGCACTTTTCTTCAATGAAATACTGGGAAGACATACTGAAGCTATTTTGTTTGGTCCCTACCTCAAATTGCGATTCCCTAACTATTGGCTTCAGTCAGAGTCATACAGCACAGAGACAGGCCCTTCAGCCCAACTCGTCCATGCTGACCAGGTTTCCTAAACTAAACTAGTTCCATTTGTCTGCGTTTGCCTATATCCCTCAAAACCTTTTCCTATCCATGTACCTGTCCAAAAGTCTTTTAAATGTTGTAACTGTACTCACCTCTACCACTTCTCTGGCAGATAGCTCCATTTACACACTACCCTCTGTATGAAAATGTTGCTCCTCAGGTCCCTTTTAAATCTTTTTCCTCTCACCTTAAGCCTATGGACTCCCCAACTCTGCAGAAAAAAGCTTAGCTATTCACCTTATCTATGCCCTTCATTTTACGGATTTTAGCAAAGATTTATAGCTCAGGCTGTGGGCGAGGTTGTTGACTTGCTGGCCGAGCTGGCTTGTTTTTGTTCAGATGTTTCATCACAATGCTAGGTAATGTCAGTGAGGTCTCCAATGAAGCGATGTTTTGGAAATAAAGCATTGGAATTTATACTGTCTGGTCTTTTATGGCAAGTTGTGTCATTTACGGTTTTGTTCTGTATGGGATTGCATATGGGGTCCGATTCTATATGTTTGATGATTGCCTCTAGGAATTCCCATACGTGTCTATGTTTGGCTTGGGCTACTACGGTTACATTGTCCCAGGTAAACTGATAGCTTTCATTGTCTGAGTGTACTAATATTAAAGGAGAGTTCATCGTGTTGTTTTGCTGCTAGCTGATGTTAGTGTGTTCTGATGGCTATTTCCTTGCTGTCTGTCCGATGTAATGCTTGTGGCAGTCGTTGCATGGTATTTTGTAAACTATGTTGGTTCCGCATGTTGTGGGAATGGGGTCTTTAATCCTTAGGAGTGTTTGTCGTAGAGTGGCTGCGGGCTTGTGTGCTACCATGATTCCTGGTGGCTGTAGGAGTCTCGTCAGTTCTGATATGTTCTTAGTGTAGGGCAGTGTGGCCAGTGTGTTAGGGCATACTGTGTCCACTTGTTGTCTATTTAGCAGGCACCTGCAGATGAAGTTGGGGGGATGTCCGCTTGTGGCGAAGATTTTGTATAGGTGCTCTTCCTTTTTCCTGTGTAGATCTGGCGTGTTGCAGTGAGTGGTGGCCCGCTTAAATAGTGTCCTAACACAGCTTTGTTTGTGGACGTTTGGGTAGTTGCTGTGGAAGTTGAGGATTTGGTCAGTGTGGGTTGCTTTGCTGTACACAGAGGTTTGGAATTTCCCGTTGGTCATATGTTCAATGCTGACTTGCAGAAACGGAAGCTGATTGTTGTTTTCTTCTTCTCTCGTGAATTTAATCCCGGCGAATACATTGTTGATGTGGTGGTGGGTCTCTTCTAGTTTGGTTTGTTTGATGAAGAAAAATGTGTCGTCCACATACCAGATCCAGAGTTTTGGTTGATTGAGGGGGAGGGTAGCGTGTCCTCGTCTTTGCATGACTGCCTTTGTGATGAGTGAGATGGGTGAAGGAATTGGTATGCCATTGATCTGTTTGTATGCTTGACCATTAAAGGCCAAGTGTGTGATAAGGCACAAGCCTAGTAGTTTGAGTATGTTGTTGTTGTTGTTGCTGCTGATGGAGCTGCTGGTCCGCGTTCCTGCTTCCCCTAGTAATGTGGCCAGTGTTTCTTTGGCTAGTGGGATGTCAATTGATATGAATAATACTGTGACATCAAAGGATACCATAATCTCGTTGTCAATGATTTTTACGTTCTTGAGGGTATTGAGGAATTCTTGGGTTGAGTGGATGGAATGAGGTGATCCGTATACTAACCCATACAGAACAAAGCCGAAAATGACAACTCACCATAACAGACCGGACAGTATAAATTCCAAGCGGAGTAGAACAAATTTGCTTCATCGGAGACCTCACTGATAACGTTACCTAGCATGGTGATGAAACGCCCAAATGAAAACAAGCCAGCTCAGCGAGCAAGTCAACAACCTATGCCCTTCATGATTTTATAAACCTCTAAGATCACCCATCAGCTTCCTGTGCCGCAGGGGAGAACAGTATCAGCCTATCCAGTGTCTCCTTATAACGCAAACCTTCCAATCTCAGTAACCTCCTTGTAAATCTTTGTCGCACCCTTTCCAGTTTAAAGACATTCTTCCTCTAGCAGGACAACTAGAATTCTATGCAGTACTCCAAATGTGGCTTTACCAATGCCTTGTGAAGCTGTCAGAAGGTCTATGACACCAGATTATAGTTCAACAGGTTTATTTGAAATCACTAGCTTTCGGAATGCTGCTCCTCCATCACTTGACGAAGGAGCAGCACTCTGAAACCTTGAGATTTCAAATAAACTTGTTTGGCTATAACCTGGTGTTGTGACTTCTGACTTTGTCCACCCAAGTCCAACACCAGCACTTCCACATCATTGTACAGCTGTAACATGATGTCCTGTACTCAATGCTCTGATCGATGAAAGCAAGCATGCCAAACACCTCCTTTACCACCCTGTCCATCCATGACGCCACTTTCAAGGAACTGTGTACCTGCACCCCTAGGTCTCTCTATTCAACAACACTCCCCAGGGCCCGACCACGAACTGTATAAGTCCTGCCCTGGTTTGTCTTACCAAAATGCAACACCTCATTATTTATATGAATTAAACTCTATCCGCCATTCCTTGGCCCACTGGCCCATTTGGCCAAGATCCTGACGTACTCTTAGATAACCTTCTCCACTATCCACTATATCACCAATTTTGGTGTCGTCTATAAACTTACTAACCATTCCTCCCATATTCTCATCCAAATCGTTTATGTAAATGGAAAAAACAACAGTGGGCTCAGCACCGATCCTTGTGGAACACCGCTGGTCACCAGCATCCAGTTTGAACAACATCCCTCAAGCACCACCCTCCTCTCTCCTACCGTCAAGCCAATTTTGTATCCAATTGGTTAGCTCTCCCTGGATCCCAAGTGATCTAACCTTACTAAGCAGCCTACCCTGTGGAACCTTGTCGAAGGCCTTGCTAAAGACCACGTGGACAACAATTACTGCCCTGCCTTCATCTCTCTCTCTCTGTTACCTCTTCAAAAAAAACTCAGTCAAGTTTGTGAGACATGGATTTCCTATGCGCAAAGCCATGCTGACTATCCCTAATCAGTCCTTGCCTTGCCAAATGCATGCAGATCCTATCTGTCAGAATCCCCTCCAACAACTTACCCACCACTGACTTCAGGCTCACCAGTCTGTACTTTCCTGGCTTTTTCTTGCAGCCTTTCTTTAATAATTGCACAACATTAGCCACCCTGTGGCACCTCATCTGTGGCTGTGATAATATAAATGTCTGTTAGGGGTCCTGCAATTTCTCTCCTACCTTCCCACAATATCCTGGGATACACTTGACCAGGTCACTGGGATTTAAAATTGAATCAGAGATAGTAGGAACTGCAGATGCTGGAGAATCTGAGACAACAAGGTGCAGGGCTGGATGAACACAGCAGGCCAAGCAGCATCATAGGAGCAGAGAGGCTGACGTTTCGGGCCTAGACCCTTCATCAGAAAAGGGGGAGGGGAAGGGGGTTCCGAAATAAATAGGGAGAGAGTGGGAGGCAGATAGAAGAGGGATAGAGGAGAGGATAGGTGGAGAGTAAACAAACAGGTCGAAGAGGCGGGGATGGAGCCAGTAAAGGTGAGTGTAGGTAGGGAGTTAGGAAGGGGATAGGTCAGTCCAGGGAGGATGGACAGGTCAAGGGGGCGGGATGAGGTTGGTCGGTAGGAGATGGAGGTGGACGTCCAGTCCCTCTACACCTGCATTCCCCACGCAGATGGCCTTAAGGCCCTCCGCTTCTTCCTGTCCCGCAGGCCCGACCA